TGGAAAGGGACTTGGCAAGGGTGAGGGTGGAGGCAAGGCAACCTAATAGAAGACTATGTATGACTTGAAGGGGTGGGCGTTGGGAGAAGGGGGAGATAGCGATGCCAGTGGCAGAGAGCAGATTCAAGAGTTGTTTAAGAGATGGAGTTAGCACTTGGTGACTGGGAGAAGGAGAGAGAGGAGCTGAGGATGACTCCTGGCCCTGAACATAGGCAATGAATAAGGTGAACTGGGTGACAGACAAGTGGAAGTGGGGAAGGGGAAGAAAGTGACTTCTGCAGGACATGTGGAGTTTGAGATGCTTGAGAGATGCCCAGCTGGGGAGCTTCAGTGGGTAGTTTAGCCTTTTGAGTCTGGAGTCTGGGAAGATGGCTGCTAGAGACAGAGGCTTGGGGCTTGGGACAGGACATCAGTGTGTCAGCCAGATAACCCCCACCAGAGTCCCAAGGGGTCCTCATGTCCAGGATCTAATCTACCAGTGACCTTTGCCCACTGCTTTAATTTGCTGTGTGACCTTGAGCACCTGGCTTCCCCTCTCTGGGCCTCTATCTGGGCCTCATTTTTATCTTGTGGAAAATTCAATAAATTGAACCACAGCAGCAGTTCTTACCCTGGATGTGGGATAATGATAGTTTTAGCACCGAAAGTTTGTGGATTGTACTTTTTGGAAACAGAGTTCTACTATATTGCCTAGGCTGGCATCAAACTCTCAGGCTCCAAGTGATCCTCTCTGCCTCAGCCTCCCAAGTAGCTGGGACTACAAACACGCACCACATCCCCAGCTGGGCTTTGTTTTTAAAATATTACAGGTTGAAGATTCTCCCTACAATGTCACTCTTCTTTGCATTTTTCTGTGGAGCCTTGGAGGTTGGTGATAGCTGGTGCACAGGGATGTGGTGCATACCCCATGGCCCACCTTGTCTGTACCCCAGCTGTCATCGGGGGGTGCTTAAAGGTGTGTATCTTACAGATGATTGTCACCCATCATGTGTTTGCCTACAGATAAAAAGGAGACTGCTGGTTGGATGAGGTGGTTCACGCCTGTAATCCCAGCACTTTGGGAGACCGAGGCAGGTGGATCACTTGAGGTCAGGAGTTCGAGACCAGCCTGGACAACATGGTGAAACTCTGTCTCTACTAAAAATACAAAAATTAGCTGGGCGTGGTGGCA